TGGGGGAGGAGGAGGAGGAGAGGATGGGGGATGAAGACGAGGAGAAAACATCATCATACTCAGAACTGCTGGCATAGATCACTCTCCCATCCTTTTTCCCTCCTCCCCTCGATTGTCTTCCTCCCGATGTGCCCCTCCTAACCTCCCTTCCCTCTCCCCCCCCTCCTCATTCTCCTCCTCCTCCTCGTGCTCAAGAGCTAGCGCGCCGAAGAGTTTCCGACGAGCAACTTCAACCGAAACAAACTGCCTCCTCCCCCTCCCCCTCCTCCTACTCCTCCGCCTCATCATCATCATCATCATCATCCACCCCTCCTGGCCGCGCGGCGCCGCAGTCCTAAGAGAATGGGCCAGCACGAATCGTCGGGGATGTTGAGCAGCGCCTGCGGACGGGGCGGGGCGGGCCCGCTCCCGCGATTCCTCCGTCCGGAGGAATCAAGGGAACGAGGGAATCAAGGAGAGACGGAAGCGAAAGGGGGAGGGAACGGAAAGTAGTGGAGTTTAGTGGAGTGAAGCGGGAGAGAAAAAGAGGAGGGCAAGGTACGTCGAGGGAGGGGGGGGACAGTGGTGGTGAGGTGCGCCAAGGGAGGACAGGAGCGCCTGCGCCACCAGGCAAGGAGCCACCTTGGCGGTTGCCTTCCGCCGAGACCCCCCTTTCGCCATCGCAGCGCGCGCGGCGCCAGCTCTCGGGCGGGCGGGCCAGGGCCGCGCGCGCGCGGGCGAGCACCAGGGCCAGAGCGCGGCGCGGCGGGTGGGGTCGCGGGCGCCAGCGGTGCCCACGATCGTGGAGGGGGGGATCCTCCGCCTTCGTCCTCCTCCTCCTCCTCCTCCTCCTCCTTCCTCCTCTTCCTCCTCCTGTTCCTCCTCCTCCGCCTCCTCCCCCCTCCTCCTCCTCCTCCTCGTCGTCGTCCTCCTCCTCCTCCTCCTCCTCCTCCTCCTACTGCTACTACTACTACTACTACTACTACTACTACTAAACACTACTCACCGTGGGGGGGGGGGGGGGGGGGGGACTTACATACTACTACTACATACTACTACTACTACTACTACACAACGAACTACTAACTACTACTACTGCGATGGTGCACGAGGAGGATGCATAGTCGTGCACTGACAAGACACCATTCCCGTCGGCCTTCCTTAAAAGCCCAAAGAAGAAATTTCAAATTCAGTTTTTTGGAATTACATGTCAACTTTCCTATTGTGGACAATACAGAACTCCAACGCGCGCGCGCGCGCGGGTGACCATGGTCACCCGCACATGCGGGTGACCCGTCTCCCGTCGGCCTCCTTAAAGAGCCACAGAAATTTCAAATTCATTTTTTGGAATTACATGTCAACTTTCCTATTGTGGACAATACAGAACTCCAACGCGCGCGCGCGCGCGGGTGACCATGGTCACCCGCACATGCGGGTGACCCGTCTCCCGTCGGCCTCCTTAAAGAGCCACAGAAATTTCAAATTCATTTTTTGGAATTACATGTCAACTTTCCTATTGTGGACAATACAGAACTCCAACGCGCGCGCGCGCGCGGGTGACCATGGTCACCCGCACATGCGGGTGACCCGTCTCCCGTCGGCCTCCTTAAAGAGCCACAGAAATTTCAAATTCATTTTTTTGGAATTACATGACCATGATGATGATGATGAAGAATCATGGTGATGATGGTGATGCATGAATGCGGTGATAATCAGAGATGATAAAGCGATGATGATGACCATGATGATGATATCATGATCATGAAGGCGATGATAATCAGAGATGATCATGATGATGATAGATGATAAGGCGATGATGATGATGATGAATCATCATTCAGGCGTTGGGTACATCGGCCAACATGCAGCAAAAAACCAATTCACATTGGAAAAAACCAATCCACATTAGGAAAAACCAATCCACATTAGGAAAAACCAATCCAAGATTGACAAAACCAATTCGTCCAGCAAAAACCAATACAAAGTGTAAAGACCAATTCGTCTTGAGCGGATTGATAATATCAATCCTCAAGAGGTCTGGGGGGGAAGCGCATCGACGTCTTCCGCGGGTGCGCGTGCCGTACCACCCGGTCCACCAACGCCGGCTCTAAGGCGTCCCCACGCTCCTCGGCGGTCTCGCTGAGCGAGGCGCGCCGCGCCGCTCGCACCGCGCCAGCGACCTCGTCGTTCAGGGCTGGTACCCCGGGCCCCGCGGCTCTGCCTCGCTCGAGGACGTTGCGCGATACTGCCTCCAGGGTGGCTGCCGGGCCCAGCCGGGCGCCCGAGGCCGCGTCGACCAGAGCAAGGGTCAGCGGCGCGCGCGGGCGGAGTAGAGAACTAAGGTAAGCTTCCGCCGCGTGGGGCTCCTCAGCCGCCAGCCGCATGTAGTGGCGCATCTGCCTGTCCCGGGCGCCCGCTAGTGCGCCGGCTGTCCTGGCGGCGGCGCCCCCGGCGGGGTGCTCGGCAGGGCCGGGGGAGGGCCCTTCGGGGGCCTTGCCCGGCCCGCTCAGCCGCTTCGGCCAACGCACCGCCACGAGCCCGTCCAGGTGCCCCCTGATGGCGATGACCGCGGCCCGCCACCAAACCGCGTGGTCCAGTACTGCCTGCCGCGCGGCCCGCCACTGGCCCGCCGCGAGCCAGGCGCGAATGGCGGGGTGTCGGGACGCAACCGCCGCCCAGCCAGCAATGAAGGCCAGCGACGCCGCGGCCCCGGCGAGAGCTTTCGTCCAGTCCGCACCAGCTCGCCACCTTGCCCGGCCGACGCGCGGCGCCTCGTCCACCCGAACTTCGCCTGGCAGGCGGGCGAGCAGAAGGGCGTGGTCCGCGGGGGCGCCCGGCGCGCCCGGCGAGATGACCTCCACCGCCGCCGGCAAGTCCTGCGACGTGGCGACCCAGTCTACCGCAGTGCCCGAGACATGCGTGGGCGTGGCCCGCGGGTTGCGGATCACCGCGTCGAAGCCCTCCGCCGCCCGCAAGAGCTCCCGGACGTGGCGTTCCAGTGGGCCCTCGTACCGCGCGTTCCCCGGGGCCATCTCCGCGAAGTGTAGGTTGGCGTCGCCCAGGATCACCAGGCGCCAACCTTGATACCGGGGCTGGAGTGCAAGCCGCCGCCACTCCAGCAGCCGCGCGTCCCAGAATTGCCGGCGGGCAACGACGCCACGCGCCGGCAGTGGCCCGTACGCCGCAAGGACGAGGACGCCGCCCCCCTCCGCCCCGGGCAGCGGCAGCCAAATCGCCCGGGCGTCCCCCACCTTGGCTAAGGGGGCAGTTGTTTCGCCCAGGGTCTCGTGGACCAGCACGGCGACGGTGCCCGGGGACGAGGTGCGCTCGCCATAGAAAGCGTAGCCCGCGTCCGGCCACCTCGAACCGGGGCCGAGGCGGGGCTCCGCGATGGCCGCCACCGCCACCTTCGCCTCCTTCAGCTGCTCGAGCACCGCGACGATGCTGGCCTCCTGGGTGCCCGCGCCCCCGCGCGCGCCGAAGCTCCCCCCAACGTTAACTGCGGCGAGGACTTGCGGGGCGGTGCGCGCCGTGCCGGGCGCCGCCTTGCAGTCCCGCGCCGGCAAGGCGCCCTCCCAGGGTCCGTGGACGCGCCCGACAAGTGCACCATGGACCTCTGCTTCCAGCCGCGCGCGCCAATCCTGCAGGGTCGCCGCCAGCGCCTCGTCGAACGCACGCCACGTCCCTAAATCGCCCTGGCCCAGCACGCGCGAGACAGGCCCGCCAGCTGGGCCCAATGGGAAGCACGGCCGGGCCGCTTGGAGTGCCCGGATGTCCCTCAGGAAACACGCCGCGGCCACGCGTCGCTTCCCGCCTTCTCCTGGGAGGTCGGCCGCCAGCCAGCCGCGCACCTCAGCAACCGCCGCCGTGGCCGCCGCGCCCGTCGCCCAGACCGCGAGCGCCGTGGTGTCAGGCTGCTCCATGCCCGTCGGCCGCGGCCAGCGTGGGCGGCGGCCCGATGAGCCATCATGGGTACGTACAGTAGGGGGCCAGGGGCCCATCGGACAGCGCGTGGCGGCACCCTCCAGGGGGGGGCACCTCCGGGGAAGCAAGGAGGGGAGGGGGCAGCGGGGGGGGGGTCCAGCATCATGCATCCCCCGCCGGGCCACGCGGCCCCCTGGCAGCGCGGGCCTCGGGGGCCCTCAGGGGGGCGGGCCCGACCGATCCCCCCCGCCCCCCGCCCCCCCCGGGGGGGGGCCGAGCCGGCCCCGGACGCCGCCCCGGCAGCGGCCGAGGGGCCCCTTAGAACCTAAGAGCAAACTTTTGCCAAAAGTTTCTTCTTAGGTTCTAGAGGGAAGGGAGTTCAAAGGAGTGGGGGGGCAGCTCGCGGGCGGGCAGAGGGCGCCCCTAGTTCCAGCCAAGGCGCGCGCAGCCCAGCTTGGCTGAAACTCGGCGGGGGGCGCCCCAGACCAGGCCACCCGCACCGAGATTCAGCCAAGACGGGCCGCAGGTTGGCTGAAACGACCCGCGCTGCGTGCCCTGCCGCCGCCGCCGCCAGCCGGGGCCCGGTCTTTTCGCGCTCTCGCTGGGTGCATCGCTGGCCACGCGCACTGGGTCCGCCCAGCCCCGCCGCGCCGGCGCGTCGAACCTGGCCCACGCCGGGTTGCTCCCTGCGCCAGCCCCGTCGCTGGGTGCGGCGCGCGCCCTCCACGCTCAGCCCGGCCCAAGCCTAGGCATAGGTGGGGCGCGCCCCGGCCGTGTCGGGCTAGAAAAAAAAAAAAAGAATGAGAAAGCGCCCGCGCCCGGGCGGGGAGAGGCGGGGGTGGGCCTGCAAGGGGCGGGGGGGGGGGGCGGGCGGGCGCGGGCAGCAGCGGCGCGGCGCGCGCCCTCCACGCTCAGCCCGGCCCAAGCCTAGGCGTCGCGGGTCGCGCCCCAGCCTCGTCAGGCCAATAGAAAAAGATAACAAAAACGCCGGCGCTCGAGCGCACGGAGGAGGGGGGAGGTGGGCCTGCACGTGCGGGAGCGGGGCGGCGCGGGCGCGGGCTGCGGCGCGAGCCCTTGCTCGCGGCGATCAACTGCTCCTCAGGGGCCCGGCCCGGCGGGCGGCGTAGCGGTGCATCGTTGGCGCGTCCGCGTTGGGCCCGACCACCTTGACGCTCTTGGTGCGGCCGAATGCCCCAACCCACTTGGGGGCGAACTCGACGATGTTGGGCTTGATGCCCTGGATGGTCACCACCCTCGTGGAGAGCACCCACCGGACGGTGATCGTCGTGATTTTGTTCAGGGTCGACCGGGGGGGCGCGAACAGGCGGAGCGTCAAGACGTGGGCGTCTCCGCCTTTCTCGGCCGCCCATCCCACAGGGCGCACCCAGCGTCTGTTGTCCTCCTCCACGAGCGTCTGGACGGGCACCGGCGGGCCGCCTGGCCCGTGGAAGTCCCGGATGGCCACTGCCACGGAACGGGCATCCGGTTTGCCCACCGCGAATTCGGCGATGAACTGGACCGCCGCGCCGGGGCACGCCGGCCTCGCTCCCTGGGCGGCGGCGTTAACCAGGCCGATCAGGTCGCGGCTCCACACCTCGGGGGTCGCGTGCAAGGCCTCCTCGCCCGGGGCGCCGGCGGCCGCGCGCTCCGGGCCCTCCTCCTTCAGTCCGGGCTCCTGCGCCTGGGCGGCCGCCGCCGCGGCGCCAGCCACCAGCTTCTGCACGTGGCGCACTGCCTGCGGGAAGGAGAGGCCGGTCTCGTCAATGAGGTCGGCCGCGTCCCGGAGCCCACCCGTCAGCCACCGGAGGGCCTCCGCTTCCCATGCTTCCGCGTCGGCCGCCTCGGTCCCTGGCGCGGCGCCCGGCGCCCCCGCCCCCCCAGGCAGCGCCTGCCCGTCGTCAGCGGGCCCCGTCGGCGGCGCGGCCAGCGAGGCGTGCTGGACCTGCGCCCAGCCGCGCCCGCACGTCCCGCAGGCTGCCTGGTCATAGCCGCACGCGCACCGCGGCGCCTGGGGGGTTCCCTGCCCGCCCTGGCCGGGCGCGGGCTGCGGCGGCGGCTGGTGTGGCGTCGCCCACTGCGCGGCGGGGACCGCCATCGCGCGGCCGGGCGCCGCCGGGCCGCGCCCCTCCGCCGCCCCGCGGCCACCGCCCGCGCCGCTCGCGGCGCCCGCCGCGCCTTGCGGTCCAAGCGCGCCCTGCGACCCCGACAGCGGGGGGGTGGCGCGCCTCGGCGCCTGCGTGGGCGGCGGCGTCTTCTGCGGGGCACCGTCGGGCCGCGGCCCTGACGGCGGCGCGCCTGGTCCCTCGGCGGCGGCGGCGCCTCCCCGTAGAGCGGGAACGGCGCGCTGGCTGGCGGGCAGCCGGCCGGCGGCGCGCCCCACGCGCGAGGCTGGCCTGGGTCGGCCCCAGGCCCAGCGACGGCGGGCGGCTGCGTCATCGGCGGGGGTCCTTCTGGTTTTGGCTTGGGCGGCGGCGCGCGCGGCCCCGGGGCGAAACCGGCCAGCGGTCCGTCGGGGGCGGTGCCCCCCGCCCCAAACGACTCCAGCGGCCCGTAGAGCGGGAACGGCACATGCGGGCTGGCAGACGCGCTGCCGGGTGGCGGTGCGCCCCACCCGCGGGGCTGGTTGGCCCAGAGTCCCGCGGGGGCGGTGCCCCCCTCGCCAAAAGCCCCCGGCGGCCCCTGAGGCGGGAAGGGCGCGAGCACGCCAGCCAGCGGTTTGGGGCTGGGCGGCGGCGCGCCCCACCCGTGGAGGTGGCCGGTGTCGGCCCCGAGTCCCGCCGCGACCGGCGGCGGCTGCCCGCGGGGCCACCCTGCCGCCCATCCGTCGGGGCTTTCGGGCGAGCCCGGGTCCCACGCGCGCCTCTGCCCGTGCGGCGACTTGGGGCTGGTCCCCACGACCGCCGTCGGTCCCAGCGACGGCGCCGGCGGGAAGGCGGCCGGCGCGGGCGGCGGGGCAGCTGCCTTCCCAGGCGGCGCCGGCAGGCGGGGGCGGTTCGCGCGCGCGGGCCGCGCTGCGATGGACTCCCCTCCAGCGTCGCCCGAGGCCGCGAAGCCCTGCGCGGGGGGCCAAGCGGCTGCCTGCGCCGGCTGCTCCCCGGCGCCTGTCGGGCGGCGCGGCTCACTGCCGCGCTGGGTCTGCGTTGCGTCGCGGCGGCTGCGCCCGCGGCTGCAGTCGCCCGACGCCCAGCGGCGGCTCCGGTCGCGTGAGCGGCTCCGGTCACGGGACCCCCCGCGGCGGCTCCGGTCGCGGCGGCGCCTCACGCGGCGGTCCCGCCTGCGGCCGGAGGAGCTCGCGCGCGGCGTCGGGCTAGCGCCACGGTCCATCTCCGCGGGGCCTTGCTCGGTGACTGCGGGACGGGGCAGAGGGGGGGCGAACCTCCAAGTCAGGGCCGGTCTTGAGCCGGAGCCGGCGGTGCCCGCGGGGGGGGGGCCGTCGATCGGGCAAGGGGGCGAGGGAGGGAGGCCTGGTCCGCGCGCCACGCCCTACCTTGCCTCTGTCCCGGGCCTTCATTGACGAGCCAGCGCAGGGGGAGGGGGGGAGCGGGGAGAGAGGGGGGGTGGGAGGGTGGCCTCGTCTCGCCACGCCGGAAGCTCCGACCTCGCCTCGCCGCGCCTCACCACGACTTCGGGGGGGGAAGGGGGGGGGCGGGGGGAACGAGGGGGGAGGGAGGGAGGGGGGGAAGCTCAAGCCTCGCCTCTCCACGCCTCGCCTCGCCTCAGGGGGGGGCCGGGCGATGGCGCAGGCGAGGTCTTCGTACCCCGAACCCGCCGGGTCACGGCCAGCAGCTCCACTGGCCGACGCGTTCGAGCCATGAGCCGCCGCAGCGGCGGGGATTCTCGCCCCCCCGGGCAGGGAAGGAGGGAGGGGGGGGAGGGGGAAGAGAGGGGGGACGAGGACGGAAGGAGGGCAGAGGAGGGGGAGGGAGGGAGGGATCCCCGCGCGTCCCCCTCGCGCCGTCCCGCCGCGGGCGCCGGCCCGGAGGCCCTCCCGGCCGGCGGACGGCGGCCCACTGACCGGCCTCGCGCCCGGCCCCTCCGGCTCGGGAGGGGGGGCCCAGACGAGGGGGGGCAAGTGGGGGAAACCGAACGCAGGAGAGGGCAGCAGGGGAGGGGGAGGGGTCCGCCCCAGCGTCCCACCGCCGGCCGGGAGGGCAGCCGGCCGGGAAAGCAGCCAGCCCTGGTCGGAGCTCGGTTTGCCCTTCGCGGGGGCTCTTGCCCTTCGGCGGGGGGGGCGAGAGGATCACCCCCAGAGGGAGGAGGGGAGAGGCAGGGAGGCGAAGAGGAGCAGGGAGAGCAGGCGAGGGAGGCAGGGGGGGGAAGAGAGCGGGGACGAGGACGGAAGGAGGGCAGAGGAGGGGGAGGGAGGGAGGGATCCCCGCGCGTCCCCCTCGCGCCGCCCCGCCGCGGGCGCCGGCCCGGAGGCCCTCCCGGCCGGCGGACGGCGGCCCACCGACCGGCCTCGCGCCCGGCCACTCCGGCTCGGGAGGGGGGGCCCAGACGAGGGGGGGCAAGGGGAGGAACCGAACGCAGGAGAGGGCAGCAGGGGAGGGGGAGGGGTCCGCCCCAGCGTCCCACCGCCGGCCGGGAGGGCAGCCGGCCGGGAAAGCAGCCAGCCCTGGTCGGAGCTCGGTTTGCCCTTCGCGGGGGCTCTTGCCCTTCGGCGGGGGGGGGCGAGAGGATCACCCCCAGAGGGAGGAGGGGAGAGGCAGGGAGGCGAAGAGGAGCAGGGAGAGCAGGCGAGGGAGGCAGGGGGGGGAAAGGGGGGGGAGCAGGGGCGGGGAGGCGACGAGGAAAGGCAAGGGAGGGGCGGCCTGCAGCATGCATCCCCCGCCGGGCCACGCGGCCCCCGGCAGCGCGGGCCTCCTGGGTCCTCCGGGTAGCGGGCCCGACCGCGAACCCCCCGCCCCCCCGCCCCCCCCGGGAGGCCCGGGCCGGCCCCGGGCGCCGCCCCGGCGGCGGCCGGGGGCCCCTTTTGAACCTAAGGGCAAACTTTTGCCAAAAGTTACCTCTTAGGTTCTAAGGGGAAGGGGGTCCAAAGGAGGGGGGGGGTGCTCCCCAAGGCTGGCCGGCGTGCCTCCCCTTTTTCCCCTCGCTCTTGCACGGCGCGCCGCCGCGCGCCGAGCGCCGCCGGCCGCCGGCCGGGGGCGGCCGCGGCGGCTGCTGCCCGGGGCGGCGGGGGCCCGGGGCCGGCCGCGACCTGCCGCGGCCGCCGACGGGGCTCCTTCCCGGCGCGGGGTGGCGCGGGCCGCCGGGCAGCGCTGCGGCTGCCACTCGCTGCGGCTGCCCCGACTGCGGCTGCCCCTATCTGCGCCGCCGCTGGCCTCTTCCGGGCCGAGGCGCGCCTGGCTGGTGCGCGCGGAACCGTGAGCTCGTCCTCGATGTCTTCCTCGTCCTCAACCCCTGCGAGCTCGGCCAGCTCGCTGCCGCCGTCAAGGTCAGGCCAGACTTCCTCCTCGTCGTCGGCTGGCTCCTCCGGTTCGGCGGGGTCGGCTGCGGCCCCAGTGCGGCCGCCATCCGCCGCGCGGAGGTAGGTCGCTGCTGCGAGGTTCCTCCTCCATCGGCTGCGGTCCTTACCGCGCCCGAGGAAGAACGTGCGAAATACCTTTCCGATCTCGCACCACCAGTGCTGGAGTAGCACGTCCGGTGCCGCCGCCATATGGCGCGCCGTGCTGCGGACCACGGCTCGTGTCACGGGAGGTAGCCGCGCGAAGGCTGCTCTCCGGAGGAGGCGCCGTAGCTGGAGGCAGCGGCCGCGGCCCTGGCTCCATAGGTCTTCGATGGCTCCTACCTTGGTGCTGTCCGAGCTGCAGGTGCTGGCGCGCCCAAGGCTTATGTTGATGCCTTTCTCCGCGCCCGGCCCCAGGAGGGTGCCCACCGAGTGGTCGCCCGGTCGGGCCCGACGGGACCTCCAGTACAGGTGCGCATTTTTCGCTGTGAGGACGCCCATGCGGTTCGCTGTGAAGAGCCAGAGCCTCCTCGCCGGGGACGGGGAGGGGGAGGGGGAGGGGGAGGGGAGGGGGAGGGGAGGGGAGGAGGGGAGGAGGAGGAGGAGGGGAGGAGGAGGAGGAGGGAGGAGGAGGAGGAGGAGGAGGGGAGGGGGAGGAGGGGGAGGGGGGGGAGGGGGAGGGGGGGAGGATGGGAGGGGGGGGGAGGGGTGGAGGGGGGGAAGGGGAGGAGGAGGAGGAGGAGGAGGAGGAGGAGGAGGAGGAGAGGAGGAGGAGGAGGAGGAGGACGTGGAGGAGGAGGAGGGGAGGAGGAGGAGGAGGGGAGGGGAGGAGGGGGAGTGGGAGGGGGAGGGGAGGAGGGGGAGGGGGGGGAGGGGAGGGGGAGGGGGGACGGGAGGAGGAAGGAGGAGGAGGAGGAGGAGGAGGAGGAGGAGGAGGAGGAGGAGGAGGAGGATCCCTTGTTAGAAAAGCAGCAGATCCACGCTCCCAGGTCTCGAAGACGGCCGAGGCAGGCGGCCAGGGCCGCCAAGACGGCCCCAAAGATGTCTCCAAGACAGCCGCCAAGACGGCCCCAGTCGGGCCAGCACGGTCCTTCTCCTCCTCCTCCTCCTCCTCCTCCTCCTCCTCCTCCTCCTCCTCCTCCTCCTCCTCCTCCTCCTCTCCTCCTCCTCCTTCCTCCTCCTCCTCCTCCTCCTCCTCTCCTCATCCTCCTCCCCCCCCTCCTCCCCCCCCCCAAGGCGGCCCGGGCCTCGACACAAGCCAAGAGGCACCCAAGACGGCCCAAGAGGACCACAAGAGCATCCCGAGTGGGACACGAAATCAAACAACATCACAGATTTCCCCGTGCTTCCTGAAAGGCCTGGGTGTCTTCACCTTATCGGGCTTCCCCAAACTCCAAAAAGCCCTAGAGGCATCCAAGATGGCCCCAAGACCGCCAAGAGGGCCCCGAAATGATCCAATAGTCCTCCAAGACGGCCTCAAGACAGCCGGAGGAGACCCCTAGACTGCCCGGACGGCCCCACGACGGCCGCAAGATACCATCCAGACGGCCAAGGGGTCCCCAAGACGCCCCAAGACAGCCTCAAGATAGGCCAAAGTGGTCCAAGAGACCCCGAAGAATGCCCCAGAGGAGCCCAAGAAAAGACGGAAGAAAGGGAAGAAGACGACGAAGACGAAAAGAGAACCCCGGTACGACGCGCGAAAGAATGTGTCACATGTTACGGCTCGCCCAAGGCTCGGAACACGAGGTGTCACACGCTGCGGCCACTGTCACTGCGCCCTGCGAACAGTCGCCACACAAAGGGCTGGGCTGGCATGGTGGCGGGACTTGCCGCAGGCAGCTGGATAAAGTCTGGATCAACTAAAGCCACAATCGCTCTTTCTGGCCCCGATTTGCTGTACCACTGGTGGAACCCGAATGGCTTGCTCAACCACATCGACCGTGCATCGTTAAATGTCTGGACAAAGTGTTGTGTGAACCGCGTGGGCCAGGCGAGAAGTTTGTGGCGCTCCTGCAGGGAAGCGATGAGGGACTCGGAGCACCCAGATATTATGGCAGTGATAGGACCGGGCTGCTCTGCTACGAGGGCGGAATAAAACAGCAACTCGCTCTGCCACAAATTGAAAGGACGGCAGTCCACAGTGCACACGACGTGAATTTCATCGTCTGGCCTGGTTTGCTTCTTCTGCTGCCCGTTGAACTGTTGCTCAACGCCGCGCGCTCCAGAGGCGGAAGAGTTAGAGAGGGAGGGGGAGGGAGAGGAAGAAGAGAGTTTCTTGATGGGACGCTTCAAATAGAAGCTCCATTTCGATGGCAGTGCAGAGTCTAAGAGCTCCACTGGTCGAGAAACCCAAACTTTCGCTAATAGCTGCTCCGGAATCTCGGCAAACCTGTAGCACTGCCCCTGCTGGCTCGAATGTCGCAGAAAGCCTGTGCACTGTTCATCGCTGCAGCAATCCACGAATGGGTTGTCCTCTGCACAAGAGCCTACATTTGAGCTCAAGTTCGTCCACATGTGGTAGACTATGTCCCAACTGCAGCCTGACGTGAGCGGGTCTGGAACAGTCGGCTGAACTGGGAGCATGGCCTGAGAGACCATCTTCACGCTGCGCCCCGCGGACAAAGCTGACAAGCCCCCAGACGAGCCATAGAATACACCCAGACAGTAAACGAAGATGCCGGCAACAGCAAGCAGGCAATATTGGCAACTGCGACTGACGAACGTTGTTTGGGCACCCATTACTTGGCACTGTGCGCAGAGAGCTCTGGTCTGCTTGATGAAAACATTGAAGCGCAATATTCAGCTCGAGCACAAGAACTTGAGCCGACAGCGACGAAGCAAGAGATGGTGCAAAAGAGCATGGATGACGAAGAGGCCACCAGGTGCGGCAGCAGATAAGCAGTATCACATTGCCAAGGCCCGCTACTCGGAGGAAGGGAAGCAACAGCAGCGACAAGAGCTGAGAAAAAACGGATGATGGAAAAAAGGCTCCACGCCACAACCTTCCTGGAAAAGTTGTGCACCTCATAAGCGCACGGAAGTGATGCCTTCCACGCGCGACCTCTTCGAATGAAACTACATACTCGAGATACCCGCCACCGTGACGCGAGGCACTGAGAGGCGTATCCTCAGGTCCCGCCGAGTCCCGGATACGATTGTAACACTCATTCGGCAGCCAGACCCCAAAATTTCTGGGAAGGATTGGGCGCTCCCAGGCGCTCTTGGGGCTGCCCGCACGACTTTTCCAGAGGCCTCGAAGGGGAAAGTCGAAATCTGGACTTGCAACATGCTGGGAAACGGTGTCGTCCAGCCGCCCTGGGACTGTTGGGGGGGGCTTATTGGTCTGTCTTGGAGGCCCCGGCGGACTGGCCCAAGAGGCCCGAAGGATCGAAAACCCCGCCATGCGCTTGAACTACCATCAAGTTTGACTGGAGAGGACACGCGAGAGGACACAAGACCCTTCCGAGGGCCACACTGCCATAGGAATGTAGAGCGCATGGGCCACGAAACACAGGACCACCAGGGCTGCCCTTGATTTGGCAGGGTCGACCTGCTCATCAGTCTCGACTGTATGGTTGCACGCTCGCCTTTTCGGTTCTCGGCGCGTCCAAGCTGGCCCAGACGGGCCTCAAGAGGGGCCCAAGAGGGAGAATCCGAACTGCCCTTCAGGGCACCCCCCACCCCAAGAGGGCCCCCGAGACGGCCAGAAGGTCCCCCAGGGGCATCCAAGAGGCCCCCAGTGGGTCCCCAGAGGCCCCCAGGACGCCCCCAAGACGCTCCCAAGGCGGCCCCAAGAAGCCCCAAAGAGGCCTCCGAGAAGCCCCCTAGATCCGCGCCTCAGCTGCGATGGCACGATGGGCCGAGGGCCACTCGATCCGCAGCCCCATGTTGGAGGCAACTACTGGGAGGTTTCGTCGGAAGGATTGAAACGGATTAAGCCCCATTGGGGGGCTGTTAAGCCAGAGTGGGCCTCGGATCAGGCGGGATTAAGCCGGATCAAGCGGGATAAAGCGGGATGAAACCGGATTCAGCGGGATTAATTAGCGGGATTAAGCCGGATTAAGCGGGATTTCGGACCAGGACTAAATCAGAATTTGACCTCCCAGGAGTTGCATCCGAACAGCCCCGTGTGCCTGCCTCAGGGGTGCTTGACATGCCAACTTGTCAAATACGTCTTGACCCTTTTGAAGGGGCCCTGGGACACACAAATAAATACACACAAATAACAGGATTCCCCATCTTTTCCCACATTTGTTGGATTCTCGTCTTCCCCCCCACTTCCCCTATTTTCCCATATTTTCTGGGGGATCGACGATTAATTGTGTCTGTGTGTGTGTGTTCTCCCTCCTGACCTTCCTCACGGTTCCCGCTGGCTCTCGGTCCGCCGCGCCTCTCCCCCGCTCGAACCTCGTCGTGCACACCAAACCTATACCCAACAGGGCCACGACTAACCAGCCTCGAACGTATCCCTATCCCTAAGATGGGCGAGCAAAAGGCAATGACAATCTTAGGGATAGGCCCTCAAAAACTGAGGGAATCCTTAAGATCGGCATCGAGGTGAGGTGATGTCAAACATAGGGATAGGGATATGTTCCAGGCTGGTAAACGACTGCGCAGGATGGCTCCCAACACGGCCCAAGACGGCTCCAGATGGCCCTCGATGGTCTCCAAGACGCTCCCCCCAGACGACCAAGATGGCCCCAAGACGGCCCAAGACCCCACGGTCCAGGAAGCTACCTTCGGGATCTTGTGCCGCCTTGGAGGCCGTCGGGGTCGGTCGAAGGGCAAAGCCATTGAAAACTGCAGGTTGTTCCGTGCTTTTCGGATTCTCGCCCTTTCTGCCTCCAGAGCGTCCAAGGCGGTCTCAGAGGCCCACAAGACGGCCTCCGAAGGCGCAAGACGGCCCGGGAGCGCCCCAAACAACGGCCCCACGACGCCCCGAGATGGCCCCGGGAGGCCCCCAAGAAGGCCCGGAAGGTCCGAAAAGAGCCCCAAATTCAGCCCCAAAACGGCCCCTCCCCCGGTGCTCCCCCGGTGGTTTCGACATTGTCGCCTGCAGCGTCGGCGTCGAAGCCTAGACGCCACCAGCTGAGGACCTGCTGCCCTCCTGCACGACTCTCCTCGCGATGCCTGGTGCTTGGCAGCGCACATGGGATCCCCACTGGTCCCCTAACTTACAGGAAACGACTCAGATGGTTCAGGAAGTGCGCACAACTGCTAAAATGCAGAATCACTGCACAAGCTCCCGAAAAGGCACGCCTGAGGGTTCTTGCGGTGGTGGGAAAAACGTGGAGACGCCCAACTGGGAGACTGGTGGTCCTAAGTTTGATCGCATCACCACTCAAGCTACAGATTTGCCCGTCTGCTACCAAATGTCGCATGATCATGGTCTCAGCAGA